CTTTTTCTAGAATGTTCTCTATGAAACCTCAATCCCTATACCATTTGTCTGATGAACGTCTGCTCATCTTGCACCACTTAGTCAAGCTTCACAACCCCTTTGAAGACTTGCCAGGCCTCCCCAGGAGGAGCTGATAAAATCTTTTTGGAACTTCTGCTGTATCCTATACATGACTCTATCATTTCATCTGTAACCAGTTTGTTCCCCCCACCAGGCCCTCTTTGAGGACATGAGTGTTTCTTGACCAGTTTAATATCTTTTGTGCTTATTAGCACAAAGTCTGGCACAGAGAAGATGCTCAAAAACATTTGGTGAATAAATAAATTAATTCTAGAACTTTTAAAGCCGTATGATGCCTTAGAAAATGTGGAGGAAGGGAGAATTGATATAATAACTTTTGAAAATTAATGAAAATATTTAGTTATGACTCTAAGGAAAATACATATTTATCTCCTAAATAGAGATAGCCATGGTCCAGAACCCTGGTCATAAACTACAGAAAACCAAGAATGTAAATGCATGGGAAAACTTCATAAATCCCAGTAAAACATGAGACACTTCCCAACATATCAGAGAGCTCATAGCTCCACTGAAGTTGGAAGTAAGTCCTCTCTCTAAGCATTTGCTTTCTTACTGTTCATTCATCACAATGTTAACATTAATGCTAATAGCATTTATTTTATAATTGCTTTTGATCTACCTTTCATTGTGCAACAAAGGTAAATGTCAAGGGAAAAGAATCAAAACTAATATCACTGCTATAACGATTTACTTATAGGAGCACAGACCCTCTCTGAACCACAAAATTCCTTGACTTGGAAACTTCCACATCCAAAGATTCCATACTTGATTATAAATCTATACTGGTAAGGAACTGGTTTTCTCAAGGGAAAATATTTTACCAGCTTTGACCTGACAAATAATTTTTTAGTAAGCAAAATTCACTGCACTTTCACCCCAGGCAGTACTCACGACATTTCCTTGTTGCTTGGGGCTGCCCCACTTTACACTTTGGTTCCCCACACAGATATACCTCTTAATGCAAAGTAAGTACTATGTCCTGGATTGCTCTTTCTGTATTGAAACTTATTTATCTTCTTTCTGAAGGCTGTGAGGCCCTGCTTTCAGCAAGCTGCCACTTGGAGACCATTTAGTAAGTTAACTTATATTAACATCATATTGAATAATGATTCCAGGGGAATTTACATTTTTAACAGAAGTGTATTAGATACATAACATCTCACCCTCAGTGCCAATCTAATAAAGGAACATTTCTCCTATATCATATACCTTCCACATCTTTTCATGATTTAGTGTCTTTAAACATGCCTAATCTTCTGCCTAGAAAGACTTCTCCCACCCCTTCCTCTTGCCATCTCCAGTCTGGTGAATTCCTACTCATTCTTCAAGGCCTAAGTCAATGTCCCTCCTGCTAAGAAGCCTTCTTTAAATACCCCAGGCTGAATCGGTCATTCCTCTTGACTTTTATAAAACTTTTAATGCTAGATATCTCCATTTCTTTTATTTATAAAACTTTATATACTTGCTGTCTCAATTTTTTAATATTTTCATGCACTCTTCAACTGACTTCAAGGTGACTTCTGCTCCCACCAACCTATTACACCTAGTAACATCCACATGGCTAAATCAAGCAGACATATTTCAATCCTCATCTTCCTTGACTTGTCAGGAACACCTGACACTATTGACCACCACCATTACCTTTTTTATTTTCTCCACTCCCTCTTCTTAAAACTCTCTTCCTTTGGCTTTCTTTGTATGACAATCTGCTAGTCTTCTTTTATCTTTCTTTCTTAATCTTTGTTGGCTCATCTTCTACCTAAATGTTAGAGTTCCTTAAGGCTATGTCCTGGCCCCTTTCCCTTCTCACGCTCTGATCTCTCAAGAAGCAAACTCTTCCACACCCATGGCATTAATTAGCCTCTGTATGCTGATGACTCTCGAATGTACATCTCCAAAGCAGTCTTCTCTCCTGAGCTCCAGACTTCCATATACAGCTGCCTATTCAATATGTCCACTTGGGGTTTCACAGATACTCCAAAATCAGCAGGTTCAAAACTGCCATTGTTTTCCACCTAAGAGAACAGTACCTCTATCTATGAAGTTAGCTAAACCAGAAACTAGGAGTCATTATTGACCTACCTACCTCTCCTTTACCATTGTATGCAATGGCCATTCTTCTAAGTCTACTTTCTAAATATTTCTCATTGTTGACTTTTGTCCATCTGCACTGCCACCCAGGTTAACACCTGATTACTACAATGACATGACTCATCACCCCACATCTACTGCTTTTCTACACTGCCAGCAGAGTGCTCTTTGAAGATTCATACATTCATTGAAAAATATTTATTGAGCCCATACTATATGCAATTTGTGACCAAGACAGGAGTGTCCCTGATCTCCTGGAACTTTATGCAAGCGGATATGGTTGGGGACCTAACTTAATTGTAATGGGAATAAAGAAGATTTCTTTGTGGAAATAAATTTTTATCTGAGATATGAAGAATGTGTGGGAATTAACTAGGCAAAGAGAAGGAAAAGAGCATTTTAGGCAGAAAGAACATCAAGTGCAAAGGTCTGGAATCAGGAAGAAGCAAGATATGAGAAAACTTGAGAGGGCAGAGAACAAGAAGTAGAATGGAGATGATGAGACTGGTACTGCTGGGCACAACCAGGTCCTGTGGGGCAATGACCCTAATTGGGAGGTATTCAAGGGGCCTCAGAACCCCCTCGAATGACCTTTTACAGTGGACTAGTGTGTGGGTGAAAGTGTGAGCATTTTTCTGAGGAGAGAGTGCATAGCTTTCATCAGGGTCTTATAGCGAATCTATGACTCCTCTCCCTCTCTAGGAATGTAAAGAACCACTGATGGTGTATGAAAACAAAATGATATGGTCTTTGGACTTTGTCCTAAAAGCAGTGAGATGCCATTGGAAATTATTAAGCCAAAAAATGGCCAAATTATAAAATCTACAGGACAGGGATTTTTATGTCTTTTGTCACCGATGAGTCCCAAGCACCCAGAACAGTACCATGCATAGAACTGACACTCAGTAAATAATTGCTGAATGAACGAATGTCTATTGTGGCTATTGAATGAATGTCTATTATGTTGCGTTGCATTATATTATAATCATGTGCTTAATGACACTCTCTTATAAGATTCAATCCTTGAAAATTACTGCCTTGTTCATCTTTATATTATTAGAGATATGGCACTAGTGCCCAGCATAGTGCCTGGCTTAAAAATCAATTTTGAAATGCATTCATTCATTCCGCCAATAATTTAAGAGCACCTAGCAGATGCCTGGAACTGGGAATACAAAGATGACTAATATAGTGTCACTAACCTCAAGGAGTTTAGACTCTGGATGAGAAGACTGATAAGTAGGCTTGATAATACTATATAGTAAATGCTATAAAAGAAGTAAGAGCAGAACACAGCCCTACGGGTGTCAGGAAAGGCCAGTAGACAGAAGAAATTCTAGGAGCGACCCTGGGCCTCACTGGTTTCCTTGAGATTGTATACTTTATTAAAAATGTTTTAATTAACTCACTGCAATAAAATCGAGTTCTTAAATTCGTAATAAAACTCTGGTTTACTTTTGAGCAAAGAAGAAAAAAAACAAAACTATTAAACCATCAGGTCATCTTGTCATTTGATTTGTACATCCATCTTCTTTTCTTCTCAATGTACCCAGACTTGATAGCAGTGAGGATAATAATTTTATTTGAATGTAAAGAATGCCCAAGTAACATTTCTAGAAAGGTTAGATTTTACCAGGTAGTTTTTCTAACAGTAACAAATTCATCTCCTAGGTAAAGAAGTTAGTTTTTATACTTTGGGTTTTTATGTTGCTATTTCCCTTCCTTTGAAGTAAATCCTTTCAAATTTTTACATATCTAAGCAAACCAGATATTTGATGAGCAGCTCTATTTATTTTCTCAAAGTTTTTTTGTTCTATATAGCCGATGTGTTAGTTTAAGCTGAAGAGAATTTGTGGTTTCTGAGATCAAAATTTCAACTGCTTTCTAAAACTAAAAGTTAGTGATTAGCCATTTGTAGACCCAATCTTTGGTTTTAAATAGTACTTAAATGTTTTATTGACATTTCCACTCTTTTGTAGTAATAATATATCAATATTAATAATAATAACAACATGCATCTATAACAAAAGAAAAAAGGATAATGTTGGAACCTCTACTAGATATTCTGACAAGTCTTTCTTAAACATACTTACTTTATTTTCCGACCAAAGAAAGAACAGAGGACATGGAAAAACCTTTCCTCCCATCTAGTGGCTAGAAAATATAAAAATGTCCTCTGTGTGTTTCCTAGAATTCCAGGCATTAGAGATTGTCTGACAAATTATAATACATCTAGCTGTTCACTCCGTTAAGCAAAAATAAGTTCAAAATCTTTACCAAAACTGAGCCCAATGGAGAATTATATATCTCTAATGACTCACTAATCAGCTTGTCTTTAATCAATAACATATACTTCTCTTCAAGCAGAAAGAAGGGTCATGGTCCTTCTCAATTCATTAATCTAAACCTATGATTAAAAAAAAGATAAGGTTGTATGTTTCTGCCAACTGAAATTGGGACTTAAATTATTTTGCTGCTAAAGCAATCAGTGCCCTAGATCTCTCCTGACCCTTAATTGCTCCTTGTTGGCCCCATACTTTGACAACTCTTCCCTCAAGAGATGGATGTGCTGAATTCACTAAAGAGAGCCAAGAAACTGTCCCTGAAACAGGCTGCCTCCAAGGGACCTCAACTCCTGAAACTTGGAATACCAGACTCTGATACTGGCAGCAGGGCCTCTGTGCAGGGCCAAACCAGCCCACAGGAAAGCAGGTTTGGATCCGTTATGCAGCTAGAGGGATTAATACTTGGTCTACCTGTCTTGTATATGTCTTGTGCAGACATCAAAATCTCTGTTGAATTGTTCCTCTCTCTGGTGATTCTCACAGATTCAAAGAATGAATTTAGTATACAGTCAGCAAAGTTCTGAGCGCTCCAGGAAGAAGAGGAAGGTCAGCGAACCAGTGAAAGTTTTCATCCCTGACAGAAAATGAAAGTTAGATGCCTTGGCTACATTTATTCTAAAGTAATTTTATTTTGCAGCAAACATGCATGAAATGTCTTAGTAGGAAAGTAAGTTTCTGTCACCAAAACCTTTTACTAAATTTGTGCTCAACTTTTTAAGCCAATTTACTAAGAGCTAAATTACTGGATAGTACATAGGTTCACTTTGCCACAAGGAAACAAGGTCACCAGGGCTGCCTTGGAATAGCATTTCTTCAAGGCTGAGTTAGAAATGAGACACCCTTCATATTTATAAGGAAACCACAGTAGCTATTTTGAAAAGAAATAAGCTGTTGTTCTCAAAGGAAAGAGGATTTTCTTTGCATAATTAAACTTCCTAAGTATTTAAACTACTGTGAAGTGTTTTAACTTGTTGTAACCTGTGTACTGGAATCCCTCTATAGCTTTATTAGAATTCCCACAGAATTGCATAGAATGTGTGCAGTAGTGCTTATTCAGGTGTGATTTTTGTGTTAACTTCAATCACGAGATTGATCAGCTAAGTGTTGGACCAAAATGTTCTCTCTTTGTAAAGTTCCTCAAATCTGTTGGCCAACCCAAGACTGGGAAATAGGCTGCAATGCAGGAGCCTGGCTCCCTTCTTAAGGTCCATGTTGAATGCTTCCCAGCAGGCACTTAAGTTTAACACCTCAGTCTGTAACCTGCAGATGATGTTACTAGTTCCCTCCTTATTCTGAAAGAATTTTGATAGATTTAATGATTAATATCAAATGAATTATAAATAAAGTGTTATTTTTATTATTTATATAATTTAATAATTTAAATGGACAAGACTAATAAATTAAATGTTAAGCTTTCTGGTTAAATAAAGCAAAATGAAAGGTATTTTTTTGCTCTGCTTTTCTTCTTCACTTAGATCAATATTTCTCCAAGTGTAGTAAGGACATCAGTACTTGGAGTGCTTGTTAAAATAAGTATTACTGGGCCTGCTTCATATCTACTAAATCAAAGTCACAGGAGGTAGGACTCTATGGAAAGCTCCCTGGATTCTATTGCACAAAAGATCGAAAATCAGAACCTCTGACCCAGACCAACAGGAGAATCTCCTGGGTCAGACATGCACTTTAGCCAGCAGAAGGCTGTGTGTTATTGTAAGAGAGGAAAATCTGGGGGAGCCTGCCTGTTCAGCACTGCCCGTTGCCAGACTCTCATCCATTTCTTACCATCCACAGGCAGCTTACAAACTAGGATCCTGAACAGAGCTGTACACCAAGGCCTGCTAAGGAGGAACATTTTCTCTTCTTTCAGCATATTAAGTATACTCACATAAACTTACTCTGCTTACTCTTACTAAAAGAAGGAGGGGAAAGGTATCGGGTTTATTATATCCTTGATAGAATTGTAGCCTGAGTCATCACAATTTCTTTTAAGAGAATCACATAAAGAGATTAGCTGTCTACTAGAGGGATTAGGTTTATTTTGTGTCTCTCCAAAGGGTAGATCTAAGACCAAATTGTTGAAAGCTATAGGAGCTCAATTTGACTCAGTATAAGGAAGAATTTTTAACTCCACAGGTTGTCAAAATTTTGATATGGGCTGCCTTGTGAGGTAGTGAGTGTACCTCCACTACAAGTGTTTGAACACAAAGGAGCTTCACAAAGACTCATGGAGTCTTTGACTCTGAAAGCAAATGAATTAGATGGAGTAATTAGTCAGTCTGGATTTTAGGAGGAACCATTTTGTTTAAAAGAGGGATTTAGCTCTAAATCTATATTTGTATTTTCATAAACTTAGCCTAAGGTTGGTAGATCCTTTGAGTCAAAGTCTGGAATCTGACTCTGTCTAGAAATTTTCTATAGTGATTTTATTGTTTCTATTAACACCCTCCTGTCCCAATGGAATAGTCTCTTATCAGTGCCAATAGGTGTAAAGTATATGTCTGATGCAGGGTATGTATGAGGCAATGGAGAGTAATTGCTGGGCCTGTGCCTTTGGCGGGCACACAGGGAAGGAGATTTGTTATCAGGAGGATCTGAGAACCATGAAAATGTGAACTAGCTGATATTACACAGCAGAGCTAATACATGCAAACAGTTATCAAGATTGGAGGGTATCCAATTCTATTTTCCGAAAGATTTATTAAGAGGAAAAAAAATCTTTTAATCTATTCATTTCTGTCCTTAATAGTAATAGAATGAGTAAACACAAGTTCATCAAAAAGCTGGAACTTCAGCGAAAAGAGTGAAAACTTAGACCCTGAACTGTCTCACACCAGCCATTCCCTCACCCTGACAGTTCTTGGTTCATCAGTGTGATTACAAAGATTAGATGATAGCTTGGAAACTGGAACATTGTTAAAATAAAAATTATGCAGGGGAAATCTGACTTCATCTGTGTGGGGTTTTTCTGTCTTTACAGAAAGTTAGTCTAGCTGGAAAGAGATGGGTTAGGCTCTTGATTGCTGCCAGCCTTTGAAGCCAGGCACCAAAACCGCACCTTCATTTCCCCTCTTTCAGGTCCCTCTGGTGTCTGGGTTCTTTCATTCTCCAGCTCACCTCTGCCAGGAAGAGGCTGGAAATGAGGCTGAACATTTCATCAGTGTCAAAGTTGCACTCACGAGTTCCAAGTTGTGTATGTGTTTTAAAAATAATATTAACCTTTAGAGACAGTTTTCATTGTGTTTAAAATGATCAACTTATGATTTCAAGCCCAAAAGTATTGAATCCTTAGAGATTTCCACAGATTCTTATAATAAAAATTATTCTCAGTTATAATCATCATCATTCAGAAGAACAACACAGATGATTAAATGAGACAACACACTCTACTTGTAAGAGTTAAGGCAAGGTCCTTCACATTGTATGCTTCTAGATTCTATGCAAATGAGAAATACCTTTGTCCCAAATGTATTCTCTTTAGAAATTATTAGTTTGCATTTTAAAAAATAACGTGTTAAGTGTGATTTTGTGTTTGTGTAATAAGGCCCGGAAGGAGACTTGCTATGCAGTTGTCAATTTCTGTAAAGGATGAGGGTGTCATTGAGGGCCTAAATGGGCCCTTTGGTTATGCAATGGTAATGCCAAGATCTTATCCAGAAATGGAGAGACTTGAGGTACTAATCTGTTCATATAATTTCTCCTTGCATATACTACATCTCTGCAAATCAGGTTTTACCTTCTGCGAGTGTCAAAGGTGCTGAGACTGACTTTTGTAGGGCCCGGTGGGCTCACAGATACTGCTGGCTGACTGTGTAGGGAGCAGTAGGTAAACTGATGCCTGCAACCTGGCTGGAAGTTACACATGAGATTTGCTCAATAGAGGATCCTGGGGGAAAATCTCATTGAACATTTCAGTCTTGTCTTCACTGTGCCAATAGGTTCAGTAGTACAAGGGTTTCCCTGTGGCAGGAGTGGAGAGGCAAGCTAATTGAAATAGCCAAAAACATCTCAGGCTGGTGGAGCACAGAACATTCCTTGGGGACTCAAATACTTAGGGACAGAAACCTGAAATAAGAGTGAACTTTTGGGGGGTTATTATTTGGATATTACAGGACTCTCAAAGGCTGGATAAGTCTGAGGGATATAGGTTTCATTTGCAAAATTACTAATCAGCTCTAGGGTAAGCAGATAAGAGGTTTTCACTTTCCTTTTCACAAGATAGTTAAGAAAAAGCCTAGTCTGCTGCCTTCAAAACCAAACTGCCATTTTCTAGACAAGTTAGAAATTCTGTTGCCCTCAGTTCACTCAATCTGGAACATGAGGATAATAATACCTACCTGGTAACACTCTTGTGAGGATTAAGCAGGGTGATTCAAACAAACTGCCCAACACACATAGTGTCAGTGCTTGACGAATGTTCACCATCATTACTATTTTTTAATTTGGCATGTCTTCTTTCTTAGTCTCAGGAGCTTGGGATCCCTGTGCTGCTTTTTGCCTACCCAGAGATGCTACATCAACATCTTCTCCAAGCCCAGACTAGCACTTGAACCATGCTCCCAATTGCCTCTGTCCTGAGCACTCTTCCCTACTCTTTTCTCCAAATCGAAACTCACTTTCCCTCAAGACAGTCTGATAGAAGGGAAGCATCAAATTAAGCTTAATGTGCTGCCCTCCCACATTTGCATTTTAAAGCAGAAACTTGTTAATAAGAAAAATGAATCTCCCCTAAGGAATGCAATATAAGAAGAGATGGAGCAAACAGGCAAGAAGAAAGTCTGAGAACTTTGTAGCTGTCTTCAAATATATATGGGACTGTCATAAAATGCAGGAACCACAGACACAATCTGTGTTTTTCCAAAGAGCAGAATAAAGACACAGCGGGAAGAAGTTGAGGATGGCAGATATGGACTCAACATATTGAAGATTTTCTCCCCCATGCTCTAGCAAAGTGCCTGGCAAGGAGAAAGTGATCAACATTTTAATGTTTTTGTTAAAAATTTGATCTGTCGGTTGGTGACTGCTTCTAGCTGTAATGAGTTCCCCAACACTAGAGGTGTTCAAACCAAGTTGTCCAGGATGTTGTCTCTGGATAAGAATTGAATCATATGAATACGGAGGTCTCTTCCAATTGTAAAATTCTATGACACTTTTACTAATAGTAGAATTTCAACAGAGATATTTTGGAGCAAAGGAATATTTTATAAATCTTTTCTCCAAAAAGCAGTAAAGTAGTTAAAACTGAGGATTCTGGAGTTAGACATTGCCTGGGTTCAAACCCTGGTCATGCTGCCTACTAGCTGTGTGACACTGGGTGCGTGACTTGATCCTTCTGTACTTTAATTTTTTCATGTGGAAAATGGGAGTCATAACAGTGATTTCCTCAAAGAGTTATTGTGAGAACAAATGAGTCAATACAGGTAAAGCACTTAGAAGAATGCCTGGCCTATAGAAAGTTAATGCTTAATACCTGTTAGTTATGAGGTATTATCCGATACCCTTTTTACATCTTTTTAGGATGTAGAAGGAGGTCCTTTGTAGCAAAATTGACCCCGAACTTGTTTTTTCTGAAATCATAGGCCAGCCATGGC